CACACGCACTAAGATTCACCCTCGCTGTCTTGTTATAATACACACTTAACTCGTGCTTTACTCAGCTTGCTTCTAATAACCATGACAGTAAAGGATAACAAAAGAGCAGAGCAGTGAGCGAGCAGCACTCATTTATTCCTTCACTATAGATAGATATACTTTATTAGATATACTTTATTGATCCCAAGCTGGGAAATTGCAGATCTGTCTGTTTCTGTTAGTATGTAATTGTTGTAAAAGATGGCAGCAGTATAGTTTATAAAACAGAGAAGAGTCCTTTGAAGCAGCGGTTAGCACATTAATTGATCATTTTAATGCTTTAAGACTAGTTCGATTACACGTCGTCTGCACATCAGTGTTGATTTGGTTTTAAGTCAACGGTCAATGCTCGTACAAAAACAGCCTGATTATAAGGAAATACACATTTTGTGAACATCTGTAGCTAAAGTAAGCTCAGTAAATGCTTCTACTAAAGTTATGTCAAGGTTGTCAGCCTTCTCACTTTCCTATACACTGTGTGCTACGTCTGACGTCATCTTTTTGGTGTTTAACTACCATTTCTTCTTGTTGAAGCAGTTCCCTTTGACATGTTAAATAACACTGCAGTTTTTGACTAATGTTCCTGCGCAGAATAATTTGAGCTACTTGTTTGTTTCGTGTTGCTTTGAGAATCTGTTTTGTCTCACTCCACGTCTCTGTATTGTTAACGACGGGCTCGTCACCTACCGGCTTTGTCAAATTAGACAGCAGCATTTGATTTTGGGGGGCCGAGTGTTCAGGGTTAGTGTGGATTATGCAGTCTGTAGATATGTGGGGCCAAGACAGCTAAAGACCCAGAGCGGTGATTCTGTATCTAAGCTGTAGTCTGTCGATAGATTACAGTCACCTGGCTTCGGTGTTAAGTCTGAGGGGCGGTAAAGACGTTTGCTCCACGCAGTCCTGACTGATCGTCCACCTGACGTCCCTGTGAAAGATGAATTGATACACTACCCCGGTCCACTTTAGTTGACACGCCGTTTATTCAGATATGGGTCCGTACCTAACAGAGCACACACCCTTTCGTGGTATAGTTATGTTCTACAGTTACCTTTACGAGTTTGGAGAATCTACATGTTCAAACTGTCTCTTGGATTTCACAACACGGAGCTGCCGCCAGCACATTTCCTTCTTATGCCATATCTTATGTTATCTCAGAGCATCGGCCGCATAAAGAAGACATTCACTACCAGGTCAGACTGTGAGTTCATACCGGAGGGGGAGAAGGTTAATGTAAGGTTGTTTACAGCACGGACACGGCAAAGGAATGAATAAAGGGAATGCAACCAGACTGCAGAGGCAACATGCAAACACACGCACCCCCCCCATCGCCTGTCAGTCGAAAGCCTCCACAGAAGAGCCAAAGAGATATATATTTATATATTTATATATATTTAAATGCAGTGCCAAGGTGCATAGAAATGAATGAGACGTTTAAAAGGCTCAGGACATTCAGCGTACGTCACCAGTGGTCGTGTTGCGGCTGAGAAAAGACAGCGCTGTGCGTTTTGAAGCTTTCTGAAAATAACCGGCGTTGACAGGTAGCCCGTTTTTACGTTAATCCTAATACTCTGAAATGTTGCTTCGTCCCTCGGAGCCTGAATAGGTTACGTAGCTCATGAAATGGATTGAGGCCAGAGCTGAAGTGTTTATTTTTTTTTTTTCACTGGATGTCCGTTGTAACCACCGAGGCTCAGTGGGAGTCGACAACATCTACCTCAAAGCATCTCCTGGCTCTAAGTCTGCATGGCATTAACAGCTGTTGTCTCTCTCTCTCTCTCTCTCTCTCGTGCTGCACCTCGTGGTCTACATGTTATTATAATCAAAGTGTATCCTGAAAATTAGCGTCTTCCCCCCTTTAAAAGTGGCTTCCTGCGTCATTTAACACAAGTCTGTCACACACATGCTGGAAATGTGCTGACATGAACAAAACACAGACTAAGCATAATTGTAGCTCGCAGGATTTTGCCAATATCATGTGACACGCTGAATATTCTTCATAGGTTGGATCACAGACTATTGCGGGGTTGATTGCCATGGATTTTAATGTCCGACACAGACACAACGAGCTGACCCTAAAGACGTTTCACGGTGCTGAACACCTCGTGTCAGGAGTTTTGTTTCTGCGTGGAAAATGGATCAGAACCTACCCGATGTGTGAATCTGAAAAGGGGATGTAGTCCTCCTGTGTCGTCTCTCACTTCTTTCTGTAAGCCCCTGGGCTCGACTCTCGTGTGTCATTGGTCAGAGAGCTGCACTGCACACAGCTCAAGGCTCCTACGTCCAGCAGCTCTTGTAACACATTTGTCTTTATTAGTGTTATGAAGTACAGAGCTGCTGTTAGTTTATCAGTTTTCTCTCTTTTCGTACAAATATATAATGAGAAAAACTGTGTTGAGATTTGTCAAGATGTCGTATAGTTCAGGGAAATATTATGCAAGTTTGAAGTGTTTCCGTCCCTTTTTATGTCGGGCTTCCTTAGGCTTTACTTTATGTTTTTCTTAGTGCTGTTTCTTTCTTTCAGTACCTCCATTAAACTCTCCCCATCCTGCAGCTTCAGTCACTATTTCTGTCATTGCCCCTTCCTCCTCATGTCATCTTGTCTCTCTGGCTCACTTTCCTCCCCAGCGCCGTCCCTCTCTCCTTTCTTTGCCTCACTGTGACTAAGAGTAGCTCTGTCTGGTTCTGTGGGTTGCATAAAAGAGAAAACTCTATAAATATCCGCAGGAGTGACCTACAGCTAATATGTGTGATGAAGAAGACAGAAAGGCTGGAGCCGTACAACCTGAGGCAGTGGCCGACGGAGGAACTCATGGAAACGTCTTGTGGTTTCTGTTCCAGCGTCTCCAAAAACCTTCAAACAAAACATTTTCTTTTATGTTCGCTCCTGCATGCAAACGTGTGAGCACATGCCTCCTTGTGTGTTGGTTGTGCGTCCGTCAGCACAGAGCGCGTCAGAGAGAGTTACGTGTTGCTGAGCAGCTTGATTCCCCCAGCAGCACCGGCCATATACCATAAGCCTCTATATCCTTTAATAGGCAGCAGCAACGGAGCAACGCTGAGCTGTGTGTGTTGATGACAACTATAATTCATGTGTTACCTGTTTCCACCCTACATGTAGCATTTCAACATGGAGGTGCTGACACTGAGTAATAACTGTGTTAACTATACCCTGTGTAGTCTCGTGTGGTCTTTCCAATCTTAAATCAGGCACTGAAGTGGTGTGATTGAGTGACTGACACCGACTAAAATAGACTCCAATGAGCCGTCGGTGTCTGATGTGAAGTCAGGGTATGACTATAAGCTTTTAATTTCCCTGCAGGACTCTGACTCAGGTAGTTTGTTGCATTTGAAGGCCCTGTTTTTCTCTCTGTAGTGTACCCGTTGCACTAGAGCTGCTCGATGGTGGAAAAAATCATAATCACGATT